CTGGCGTCACCAGACGGACGCCCCCTGGCCGTGCTGTCATCCGTCATTGATGCGGGCTCGGCAAAAAGTAAACCAACCAGAACGCAAGGTCTGCTCCATTTTCCGTGGATTCACGTTCGCATAAAGCTTGCGATGCAACGGTTTGGCTCTGGTCCGAGCTCTTTCGGCCAACAATGACTATCTCCGAGTGATACTGATGCGATCCCGCAGATCGGCGAGGGCCGGTGCGATACCGCAGGGCCGCCCTGGGAGGTCTCCGCTGGCGAGACTCACGCCGCACAGGGAGCCAGTTTCGGCGCCGGTGCTCGTAGTTCGGACGGACTCCCGCCAGGGGGCTGTGAGGCCACCTCGTGGCTGCCAGCGCCGGCTGACACACCCCGCTCCCCGACGGATGAGGCGTTGTCGGCAATTACGACGAACCGGTAAGGCGACCCACACGGGGTGGACACACGACACATTGGGTTTGTTGCGCTATTGCGCATCCATTTACTCATTAGTTGCTACACACACACGAAGGTATTTGCCGGCCCAACCAGACGTTGGGAAGAGGAACGGCTGGAGCCACCACGATCTTACAACTTTGTTTTGTTCGTGGGAGGTTTTAAGCCAACAACTCACACCAAGACCCGGCCGCCAGGTGCCCCGGGTAACCACGTGCGGCGACCCCAATCGGCGCGACTATCCCCTGATCTGAACGCGTTATCTGGCTCTGTTCGTTCACATCCTGGACTCGTGGCGACAAACTGTGCCAGGCAGTGGGCAGGTGGCGCTGCGGGGCGGCGCGCGCCAGGCTCACCCCTGCTGCGACGTTTTGACACGTGCTCAGCCTCGCGCGGGGAGCCCGAAGGGTCGAACGTCGGGACTGGAGCGCTACTGGACTTCATTTTAGAACAAAGTGATACTGCAGAGCCAGAGGATCGCCCACCCTTTCACTTCTGCCGGGTACCATTTTGCATATTTGAATATCAATGTCGCCGAATCAGAACTTAATTCAGAAGCCCGTTGCTGACAGAGTGCGGCCCAAGCCGTCCCCGTACCGGTTCCACCCGAGCGCCGAGGGGTTACGCCTACGCTGGTGTGACGCTCCCCATCTGGGTGAGCCAGTTCTGCGGGCATTTGCATGGGGCGGGCTGGCAGCGGTATTAGCGCACCTCTTGTCTCCCTGGTAGTCGTGCAGCTCTAAAATGGCCCGGAAAGGTCGCCGAGCTAACCGCCCAGCCAATGCATGAAGCTAATGCCAATGTCAATGCAAAGCAGGAAGCAAACATTCTCAGTCTGGTCACTCGGCCCTGTTCACAGCCTGCTGCCCCTGACGCCCTCGAAATCAACGGCCCGTGAAAACGGCTGTGACACCGCGACGGTTCCGGAGGTGGGAAAGACCGTGGGACGGCCCGCACACAGCTACACATCTCCGACCGGCCGGCGACGGCGGGCCGGCGGGCAGCCTCCCTGCCGACACAGCCGTCTGCTGCCGTTCCGGTCAGCGGCGGGCCGGCGAGCAGCCTCCCTGCCGACGCAGCCGTCTGCTGCTGTTCCGGCCAGCAGCGGCGGACCAGCCAGCGGGCAGCCTGCCGACACAGCCGTTCGCTGCCGTCCACTCACCTGAGAACCCACCAGCTTGATGTAGGCGGCGCGCTGGCCGATGTTGGCGATCGAGAAGCCGGCCAGTCGTGTGCCGCCCGGCCCGGCGGCGTTCAGCTGAGGCAAGGCCGGCCGGACGGGTCGCGCGCGTTCACGTGGATCTGCACGTCGGACGCGCCGCCGTACCCGCTCAGCGGGAATCTGGCGAGAGCATGGCGCCCGGTCACTGACGGTGGTCGTTACTACGTCACCCGAGCGGCAACGGGCGGGGTAAACACAGCACTGAGTAAGACCGCACACCAGGCCAGATCAGGTCAGGTCACACGCCCTACCTGCTCGGCCTGACCACATCTGAACATCACTCCGCGCGGTTACGTCGCCCACCAGCAACCGCAGCTCTAGCTCCACACGCGGCGGAGGGCCCCCAGAGCAGAAGACCGACTCTGTGGAACG